TTGCAATTATCTTTGAATAACAAAATTAAAAAAAAATCAGTCTCATTACTTGATTTGCAGACCAGGTATAATCTTACACGAATGAACCAATGTTGTGTGGCTGCCGAAGTAATATAATGGTCATTTCGTGATATACAGGGTGATTCAGAAAAACCTGGTAATATCTCTAGAGTAGAAAATACACCCAAAAATAACAAAAAGTTTCTTTAATCATAGGTCCTAAGATATCCCATTACACAGGGTCTTGTCAATTTGTACTGAGTGACGAGAAAACATGAACATTGTTCAATTTATGCTATGGCGAGAGCGGATTACTCCTCTAATATACTACATATAATAACACAGTTTCACAAAATAAAAAAAGGCGCTAAGTAGGTTGACACACACACTTCCTGAGTGATGCGGTTTTAAATTCATAAAGGATTATATTCAGCACAAGTTAGTCTCTCTTAGAAAAAAGTTGGCTACGATCATGTAACATATAACAAAGGGATTCAATCGATCATGTCAGTCAGACAGGTTCATACAATTAGACCATAGACCTCACAGATTTAATAACATTAGCCTACTGCTCTAGCGACAGTAGCGACCACCCAGCAACGTGGCAGCCCAGCACGGTGTAGCATTCACGATTACACGCATCACCATTCAGTTATCCGAATTTGAAGCAAACAGATTTACGTTCATTGAGGTGTTCGGCACTTGTATATCAAAAATAAATAAATATTCGAGTTTTAAGGACAAATGTACGGGGAAGTCCATGGTGTATGAAATATGTCTAATAGCTATGTAAAATGCCCGGGGTTGGAAAAGTATGTATTGCTGGCATCAATAAGTTGACTTATACTCTCGCCAAATTTTTAGCTGCTGCATTTTTTTTTGAAAATGATCAGGATCATCCCTGGAGCGTCAAAAAACGAAGTTTGAGAAATTTTTTCGTTTTTGGCCCATTTCTCCGCTACCACTGGACCGATTTTAAAAAAATATTTTGTCTTTGGCATAGTAGTATACTGCATCGCCAATGGTGTAGTAGGTAGAAGCGGTGACAGAATTGGGGGTCGGCGGATAAATATGAAAGTAATGTAGATATCAAGATAACCGATTTTAGCATTTTGATGAATTTCTTTAGAGGACTTACCAGATATACACATCCACCAAAAGTACCTTCATGTCAAAATTACTTTCGTATTTTTCTATCGACCTACAATTCTGACTTCAGATTCGTATTTAGCGGGAAAAGATACATGGAAAAAATATAGTGAGGCCCCCAGCACATCACTATTTTGCATATTAATTTCAAACTTCATTAACTTCTGCGTATTTCCAAAGCAGCACGTGATAAAGATCTATATAAGGATTTTACCTTAAATACTCAAACGAATTTTTATCTAGTAACAGTAGTCCAACAAGAGTGGTTCATGAAAAATTAAATACCTTATTCAAAAAATTATTAGTAATACATGTTCAAGGTTTCAATTCATTATTTTATCCACTCCACTCCACTTTCGAAATTATAACTTCACCACCTTGACTCTTGGTAAGGTGTTCCTTTAGGATCCATGTTTATCCTAGCTTTTTGTTTCTTTGCCCTGGAGATACTATGCCCTAAGAGTATTGCCCCTAATTTCTGAATCACACCGTATAGGATTCCGAGACATTTTGTTATCCCTAGCAAGATGACTTTATTGATTGATTTTAATCTTTGATGAATTTGGATACATTCTTTGTCAAGTTTTCATCTCGTAGTTACCAGAGTATATTTTCAAACAGAAATAGTATGCGTAAAACGATCCACTTCACTCTATGTTAGTACTTTGGACCCTCTATGAATATTACCTTGCCCAATCTTATTTTATGTGCCATGTTATGTCATTCTCCACTACAAGTACCTCTATTATTAAGCTTTAAGGCAGTACTAAACATACATCAACAATAGAATCATTACTGCATGAGATAATCTCCGCCCACACGGTATTCGCAGTGGTGGTTCCTCAACATTTAACCCGACAAAAACTTTTTACGGCCTACGTTATAAAATGCAATTTTCTAATTATGTAACGTAAGAACGTTATATGTGCACCAATTAACACTAATTCTGCTAAGTGTATGTATCTGAGAAGCCCATTAATAGTACAACGACCAACATATACAGGGAGATGCAAAAAATAGTCGCGACATGAAAAGTTCCCATAAACATATGACCTAAAATGTGCTTCCCACGTTTCAGGCTGTTATTTAGTTTTTACCCTACTGTGAGCACTGATAGTGGTTGAACAAGCTTCAGCAAGGTTAGGGTATTTCCATAAATCAGTTCAGCGCGATTTGAATCCTCTGAAAAAAGTCAGTTACGAGTATGTTCAACAGACGAAGTCAACAGGCCCATACAATTAGACATTAGACATTTTTTTTCCTGCCCTACCGATACTTACGGTCCATCTGTCAACGTTGATCCCTTTCCACATCTGCACGGCAGCGAGTTATCGTTTATTTCGTGCATAGACGGTGTATATGTTCCCTGGGCGGTGAGCATAGTTAGCAGTAGTTCGCGGTTAGAAAACATTTCTCTAATACTAAGGTTTGAAGTCAAATGTACGGGAAAGTCTATGATGTGTGAAAAATGGCTAATGGTGCATAGAATTATCGGGGTTGGGAGCGTATAAATATACTAATATTGTAGCGTTTTTCTGGGTTCTTTTGGGTGTAGACTAAAACACTGGATTCCACAAAAGAAATGCACTAATTTATAAACTTAATAGAATATTTATGTACACCACTATTTATGTCTGACTAATTCATATGTCGCCATTGACTGCACTATACTCCACTCCGCTCGGCTACTCTACCGTATTCAGTACTCTACTTCCATCTCCCGGCCGCCGAGTTATATATAGTCTCCATTGCTGCTTCGAGAAAGGACTGGTGAACCACAAAGCGGCTTCTAGAATATTGGAGGTCACTTCGTGTCGATCTAGAAGGTGAGTCACTCCCACGGTCCTCACAGACGCCGCCAAGCGGTTTGTGCGGTCGTGGTTCGCGTAAAAGCAGAGATCGGCCATGAAGCTCTGGCGAGTAGGAGACTCGCCCAACAGATGGCGCCAACAGTTCTATTTGTCACAATATCAAAAAATCCCCACCCCCATCAACTACATCTCCCAAAGCTAGAATTTCAACCCTTACAATCATATGTATGAAAAAGATCAGGACCCTCTGAAACGCAAAAAAACAAAGTTTAAGACATTTTTGTTTTTTTCGTTTTTGGATGTTTTCTCCGCCTCCACTGGATCGATTTCCGAAAACTACAACGATTTTTCGACTTTGGCAAAGTAGCAACCCTGTGTTAAAATTTCCTCAAAATCCGATCGGTACTCCTCGAGTTATAGACGGGCCAAGTATTAGCGGACAGACAGACAGATAGATAGACCGACAGACCGACGGAAATGAGTGACATGGTTTTTCGAGATTTCATATAACATCCAAAGAACAATCCCATTTTCCATTTTTTTGCGTTTACTTTACTTCCTCGCTCAGTGGCGTAGGAAGTAAAGTATCGATGTTCAAATCATTTTTTCTCCAACAGAAATGATCCGATAGAACTGTCCCAAGAAAGACAATTGATATAAAATGGAGTACTTTACAGTGCGGAAGTAGGTGAGAAATCTGTCGATCTCTACCTACCAATGATCTGCTAAGCTGATCTCCATTTTCATCCCATACGATAAAGCTGATAAAACACCCCTACGCCTCTGGCTCATAGCTGCTCGACGTTCTGCGCAATGCATAGATAGATGCCGCACCCCCATAACGGTTGACCCAGCTATCAGTCGAAAGACTACGTATTTTCGGAGCAGATATGTTTGCTTTGCGTCTCTGCAAGAATGACCAAAAGGCCATACCCACTTGTGAGCTTTCAGTTCGCCTGTATCCTATACCGCACTGATGAGCTACTGATGACCATAAAACAGCGTTGTATGCGGTTGGATATGGGTACATAGATGGAAACAAACCTGTCCATTGAATACCTTAACCAAAATGCAATTAAGTTCCCTAAAAGGCACTCGCGTAGAAGCTGTTTCTTCCTCCTTCCGAAAGGATTTGAATATCCTGGTTTCTTTGTACATGCACAAAATAGTTATTTATGTATCTATGGTGCAAAAATGGTGAGTATGGCCCGCAGGTGAAATAAAGGCTCAAAGGGACATAAACGTTGTTCCTCTAAAGATACGTACAAAATGTTATCTGCCATCGGCTAAAATAAGAAAACTTATAGTAGCGTTTAAACATAGATAAATTATGTCACCGATAGCGATAGTAGCGCAGTAGCATAGCAACCAATAAATAAGGATAATTCCCGTGGTTCCCATATTGCGTTCAATACTGGTTGGTTAATTTAAACATAGCGGGCTTCAAAATCACTTTGTTGCCCCGGGGCAGATGTCCGTGGGCTGAAAAGTAGGACTTAACATCCTAAAGAACATTTTACGCCCGGTACACGAGATATAAATTTCTCTTAATTGCGAAATTAAAACTTCAACACCTTGCATCTGGTAAGTGAACATTTTTGGACTTCACGTTTATAGGAAGCTTCCATGTTATTTTTTGTCGTATTTTCTATCACGAATATTGCTACCATATTTTGAACCGCCTTATACCAGGTGTTTCAAATTCGACCCTCACCATTGGGATCTCGGAAACGGTAAGATATACGAAGTCGCTTTATGGGGACAAAGCTGCGTATTTAGGTAACTAACAAAATACCACTTAGAAAGTTTCAAAATTCAAGGTACTTTCCGAATTAACCGAATTTCCCCAAAATCGATTTAGTTTATTCCTGACTTCATTTGTAGTGGGATTTAAAAGTTAATTGCACACTGGTATTGGCACTTTTTCATATGGACGATATATTGGAATTTTGTATATTTAGGATAAAAAATATTTTTTTTATACTCCAACTACCACGAAGGCCTAAGGCCTAAGCACCCATTGGGTACCGTGGGACTATAGGGGGATACATGGGAAAGGGGGAACGCCACATGGACTCTGGCGAGGGAACACGTGTGCATGCAACATGCACACATTCTGGCTCCGCCTACGAGATCCGCCGGGTGGTACCTCCGCGTTCGACAGTCAGAGACCGTCTACCACCTTCGGACAATCACAACATCCATAGCTAAGAGAAAAATTTCTCCTGGGACAGGACTCGAACCCGCACAGGCTGATCAGGAGACCGAAGAGTCTACTACTGCGGCCACCGCTGCTGCGCTTTGATTAAATATGTGGAGTAATAACTAAATGAAGAATCAAAAGTTGAGTATGTAGATCGAAAGCAGAAACATTTAATCGAGAATTTGACTACGCCCTTTTGTAGAGAAGGAGTGGCAACGCTATAATAAGTCCAGTATACGGAACAAACGGTTATCTAATAACTTCAAGGCCTTCTTACTTAGGAAACTCTATTTTTTTGAAAAACCTACGGTTTTACAACGTCCATGTATGATATTTATATATTTTTGGAATCAGAACGTAAAGCCGCACCCCCATAATGGTTGACCCATCTATCAGTCGAAAGATTAAGTATTTTCAGAGCATCTCTGCAAGAATGACCAACTGCAGACCAGTGCTGTTTCGTGTTTATTTCGTTGAAATTGTCAATTTTTTTACACATTTCCGCATAGTATTTTGGGTTTTTCAAAAGGCCATACCCACTTGTGAGCTTTCAGTTCGCCTGTATCCTATACCGCACTGATGAGCTACTGATAACCATGTCTGCGGTTGGACACGGCTACAGAGATGGAAAGCAAACATGTCCATTGAATACCTTAACCAAAATGAGATTAAGTTCCCTAAAAGGCACTCGCGTAGAAGATATAATACTCCTGAGAATAAAATATTGCTTTAATTAAATATGTGGAGTAATAATTGAATGCGGAATCACAAGTTGTGAATGTAGATCGAAAGCAGAAACATTTAATCGAGAACTTTACTACGCCTTCTTGTAGAGAAGGAGTGGCAACGATAATATGCAATTTATTTTAAAATCTTATTTAAAATAAAAGCAGGAAATTAATAAACGATTTTTCAATAAGCCCGGTACATGAAACAAACGATAATATGATAACTTCAAGGCCTTCTTACTTAGGAAATTCTATTTTTTTGAAACACCTAGCATTTGACAACGTCCATGTATGATATTTATATATTTTTTGAATCAGAATATAAAGCTTTATTCATCTATACAAAGATGATAAAAAAAACAAAGTTAATGCTGGAGGACAAGAGACGAAACGACATATTCAAAGTAATTATACCATCTTGTAGAGAAGAAAAAGTCGCAACGTCAATGTGCAATTAACTTTGAAATTCTACTAAAAATAAAGTCAAGACGAAATTAAAAAGATTTTATTAAAATTCAATTTTCCGTCTCTCTGCGGAAGTACTTTGATTGTCAAAACTTTCTAAACGGCATCTAGTTAGTTATCTAAATACGCAACTTTCCCCCAGTTTAGCCACTTCGTACTTCTTACTCCCAATGAATTTGAAACACTCGGTATATCTGAGCAGCTCATTAAGAAGTACAACGACCACATTATTATTAAGCTAGCCTCACAAGTGCAGTCATCTGATATCCGGTCGGTGGTAAGCAGACTCCGGAAGAAGGGGACTTGGAAAGGCTTCCGTGGTAATACCGTAATACTCTGCTGCTATAATCAGATTAATTGGTAAGAATGGACACGAAATAAAACCAAATAATGTGTGACAAGGTGATACACTAGAAAGAACATGACGTTTAATGAATGAATTAAATGACATTCCAGCAACCACGAGCTATTAGCGCATAGGCTGCATGACGTTAATATATTTAGCTCATTCTTGAAATGCGCGAGTAGAATAACTGAAAGCAAGTGGGCGTAGTTCTTACTTTTTGGACAACTTTCTGAACACTGATAGCAATAGTCGCTCCTCAAGTCATTCTCCAGAGAAACGTGCGGAAGTCTAGCCGTGGTCTCAGTCTCATCTCTAAACATGAATCATGAAGACTAGAGATAGCAGGTTAAACTCTATAAGTAATACACGTGTTCGTATAAAGCCAATCCCGTCGCCAAGGATGGTGTGGCTCTCAGAAATATAATGGGTCGTAAAACACGGCCTAAAGAGTCTGCGCATCCAAAAATGTCAACCCACCTGCCACAATCTTTATGTTCATTTTACTTACGTTTTGCCATGCTGTGTAGGTGTATTATTTCGTGGTTTATTAATATCCAATATTTCTGCTTGAAACTCGTCCGAACTGACAGAATTGGAGTTACCTACAGTCATGACGACAGCAACAGAGAAAGATGCCACATGCGCGGAACCTGAAGCTCATTTTCTACGCAGGGAGAGATGCCTTATGTGCAGCAGCTAAAATTCATTTGCTGCGCAATGTACCAACCCCTCTCATCGTCGACATCTTTGGCTGCTATAATCAGATTAATTGGTAAGAATGGACACGAAATAAAACCAAATAATGTGTGACAAGGTGATACACTAGAAAGAACATGACGTTTAATGAATGAATTAAATGACAGTCCAGCAACCACGAGCTATTAGCGCATAGGCTGCATGACGTTAATATATTTAGCTCATTCTTGAAATGCGCGAGTAGAATAACTGAAAGCAAGTGGGCGTAGTTCTTACTTTTTGGACAACTTTTTGAACACTGATAGCAATAGTCGCTCCTGAAGTCATTCTCCAGAGAAACGTGCGGAAGTCTAGCCGTGGTCTCAGTCTCATCTCTAAACATGAATCATGAAGACTAGAGATAGCAGGTTAAACTCTATAAGTAATACACGTGTTCGTATAAAGCCAATCCCGTCGCCAAGGATGGTGTGGCTCTCAGAAATATAATGGGTCGTAAAACACGGCCTAAAGAGTCTGCGCATCCAAAAATGTCAACCCACCTGCCACAATCTTTATGTTCATTTTACTTACGTTTTGCCATGCTGTGTAGGTGTATTATTTCGTGGTTTATTAATATCCAATATTTCTGCTTGAAACTCGTCCGAACTGACAGAATTGGAGTTACCTACAGTCATGACGACAGCAACAGAGAAAGATGCCACATGCGCGGAACCTGAAGCTCATTTTCTACGCAGGGAGAGATGCCTTATGTGCAGCAGCTAAAATTCATTTGCTGCGCAATGTACCAACCCCTCTCATCGTCGACGTTTTTGGCCTCACCCCTACTCCATGAGTTTAACCTGCTATCTTCACGACATAACTTTGTGTTTAATGATATTACGAACCTACAATATTTTACCGAAAATGAATGCATTCACAAATTTGAGCAAGTGTCAACATACAACAGAATTTATGATCACTAGCCAATCCAGTCTACGTCGGTCAATAATTAATTCTCTGCTGGTCTACAGTTAAGACCACATTTAAGAGTACAAAGGACTTTGCCCACTACTAACCTGGATGAAAATGCGATAGATAGGCTCAATAGGATCTCTTTGCGTTTCGTCTCTGAGACCATAACCAACCGTATACAACGTTGTTTCATCCTTCTTTATAATCATAAGTAGGTCCAGTCATATGTAGACCGATGACAGTAAGCAAACAAAAGAATATGGGCCTTTTTGAAACACTCAGTATTGTGATGTGCGAAAAGTAACTGTGCTACCGACCTCTACGTACGGCAGCAGCAAATCGCAGTATTTCGCCATCTCTGAACAAGTAGGCTTCTATGTCCATCGCCACTCAGGGGAGGAAATGACTGATTTGCTGAAACAACGTTGTATACGGATGGTTATCGTCGCAGAGAAGCAAACAGATCCTTTCCAGCCTATGTTTAGTTAATATGTAACTTTTGTTGTATGTAGAAGTGGCCATTGGCGAAAGTACCTTAATTATTCACAATCCGCACCCGTATTACGTAACTTAAAAAGTGGCATTATATCGATATTTGATGACATTATGTAGGCTTTTCCGGAAAAATGTCATTTTGGAGCTAGATGCCGTCCAGTTCATGTTCACTTGTAGAAGTTTGCAACATGACACTTGTTTGGTACTGATGCTATGTAACACCTGTTCCAGAGATGGGATTAGCGGGGCCACTACTAGCTTCTATGGCCTAAGCTGTATGTTCTATATTATTGTAGGAATGACGCTCATAACGAATAGTCGCGGAATAGGCTAGCGACTATTTAGTACACAAGTTGACATTATACCAATTCCTAATGATATTATGTTGATTTTTTACTTAATATCTCTGCGGATAGGTGTCAAAAAAGTGAGTGTCCCAAAAATGTTTCTGTTCTTGCTACTATAAAATATATACGTATTTGTCCAGCCGATCCTCGTATAGTTTCAGTTTTAATTTTGTATGATTGCTTATGCTATTCTTTCTAGATAATTTTTTCTCGATTTCCTAGTACAGCTTCAGCATTATCTGCTTACCTGGATGCACTGAGGAGTCTTAGAATATAGACGAAACATGCAATGTTATGTGTATACTGGAGAATACCCATTAATCCACCTTTCCCATTCGTAGATTTGGAACAATTTTCAGTGCTGCACTTCTTGGGCAGCAAAATTCCTGTTAAGCGTACAACGTTTAACTACTAACTAGTGTCGACAGATCTCATTATGTATTATGATAGTGTGTGTGGACTAAAAGACATCGTAATTTGACGAAAACACAGCAAGTACTTTATGAAACCAAAAAGTTTCGGAAGCATGTTGCCACGGTTCTGACTTAGCTGTAGTTTGTAGTAATGTTTTTTTTATACTACAACTACCACGAAGGCCTAAGGCCTAAACACCCATTGGGTACCGTGGGGCTATAGGGGGATACAGGAGAAAGGAGGAACGCCACACGGACTCTGGCGAGGGAACACGTGTGCATGCAACATGCACACATTCTGGCTCCGCCTACGAGATCCGCCGGGTGGTACCTCCACGTTCGACAGCCAGAGACCGTCTACCACCTACGGACAATCGCAACATCCATAGCCAAGAGAAAAATTTCTCCTGGGACGGGACTCGAACCCGCACAGCGCACGGCGACTGATCAGGAGACCGAAGAGTCTACTACTGCGGCCACCGCTGCTGCCTAATGTACCTCCATCCTTATTGATTACAATTCTGGTAATATGAATTTC